GGCGAGAGTCTGCTGAATGTGTTTTGGCAACAGAAAAAAACTATTGACCCGGAAATGTGGGACATAAATTTGCTACTGTAAAAGTTACGGTTTTTTCAAGACTTCAGAAAATCCCATCCTACATCCTGGGCTTAATAATTGACAGAGGCAGATACTGTTTACTTTTTGGTGGAATATTGCAGCTGAAACACTAGGCGTCTCCCCGTTGATTAGTTCCTGTTACGTGAGCAACAGCATGTGCAGCATGAAACGCGTCTCCAACGTAAACTTAAGCAACTGACAATCTATTGATACTCCTGTCAGTATAGAAGAGCTAATCCACCATGTGTTATATACCAATTTCTTTCGCGAACAGCAGTAATATCCTGTGCACTATGTACTGTGGATAAATACCACATCTGAGTAAGAATTGACTAGCAACTCACTGTTGTATTGATGAGAGTTACGTCCGTAGGTAAAATAGATTAGCTGCAAGTTATATACACCTATCCGGAATTTTAGAACAAGTTGTTTGTTCTCTTGAGCTTTTTTATATCATCTACCAATCTATCATATTTCATGTAGACAGAAGATGAGACTGTAATCAGATAAATGACAATCTTTATCACAAAATGCAGCAGCAAGAAAAAAAAAAAAAAAGATTTGATATACTACATGTACAATTCACATAGCAAATTTTAAAAGTGAACACTATAATATCAGTATATGAAATGTAAATACGTTTGTGTGTACTTTATTTAATCATGCTGACATCATCAGATAATCAGAGACAGACTAAGAGATATTTTTTTAGTCTTATCTTTGTTGATCCATCCTCAATTTTTGACCCTCTTCAGAAAGAAAAAAAAATAGATGCCCGTCAATGTAAACTCAAAAATTCTGACCATCTTCTGGAATACCCAGAAGATGGCTTCCATCCGCCCCTGGATATATCTGCGCAGGTGCGTTTTTTATTTGAAATGATAAAGCATATACCAGTACACGGGGTAATTAGAAAGAAAGAAGGAATGACTCATCATGAACTCGGTACCTTCAATTCATTTGACAATACAGATAATTCCCTTGTGGCATTCAATTACCTAGATTTCTCATGTTATTCTTTGAAACCCTGGATAATTATATGTGCCTCGATATTCAACTGTCTTGAGACCCACTGTTACCTGTATTAACAAAGAAGAAGTATCTATCGTTTGATAAAGAGCATGTAATCTCAGGGGACATTTTCCTTTGTTGTTATTGCTGTCCAATATCTTATTTTAGTCTTGAGTGATATTGAGAATATCCCCATTTTAATAATTATTGTATTTACCCGCTGATCAAAAATTTCTGTGTGTAATATATAATAACAATAATAGATCTAATAATATCCCGTCCTCATTGTCTGTACGCTACCTGTATGCGCTAGAGGCTCATACCGTGTTAGATTCAATTTTTAAGCGCCATAGCTTGAAAACCCGGCCTTGGTAGTGCTGGGTCCAATTTAAGTATGGAATACCTTTGGGATATTTCTATAATAATTAAGAAATGCCATTAATGTAGCCTACACTAAAGGTGATTAAGTATACGGGCTCATTGGATGATTGATAAGCAGAGAAAAAAGTAATCGAGTCCTACAGAACAAAAATTTCCTTTAATCCTGTGTGCTGCCTCTTTACTAAAAAAAAAAAAACAAAAAAACAATGAGAGAGAGAGGGAGAGAGACAGATTTATGTCTTCCAAGTAATAGCTAAATTTTTTTTTACCAAAACCTGCGAAAATACCCATGCAGCCTCTATGTGAGTGCATGGAAGTCAACTCTACATGAACCTCTGAACTAGGCATTTACTCAACACGGGGAATTACATGCGTCCTTGTAAAATGCTAGCGAACCGAGCTACTGTAATTTACATTGAGGCAGTAAGTATTTGAAGAAGTCTTATGTGAATACACTAAGTGTCAGCCCCAGCCATTGCAGCAAGTCCGCGTTGCCCTGCGGTGGCAAAAGCACAATAACAGTGTCATTTATAAGGCATTAGCATGATTGCAGCGCATTAATAACGCACGTCGTCAATCCGTCGCCAACTTTGAGAAAATGGACTTTTTTTGGGGTGACAAATATCAAGTAAAGGCGTTGGCAGGGAAATGACATCTAGCTGTAGCAATTAGCGATATATGGTGCATTTGGACTTAATAAGGATATGAAAGGATTACAGAGTTAATTACTGTGATCGCTCACCAGATCGATAAAAGCTGGAGAAAATCGTGACGATGTTTTCCCGTTCTCATGGACTGGTGCAGTTTCTTTCGACAGGTTACGTAAGTTTTGGCTTTATGAAACTTGGTGTATGAAGCTTTGTTTATTAAGAGAAAGTCTGACGGTTTCCTCATATGTCAGGTCGTTGTCAGTATCACATGCATAAAACTGATAGCTTTTGATGCAGCAGGTGAAGATGATCATAACGTCTGTAATGTGATAATATATTTTGTGAACATTCGAAGTCTTGGATGACGGTCAGATGCCAACGGTTCACTGTTTAAGTTTAGAACAAAAGAACGGGCTTGTAGTTTAGGCGGTAGGTTCCACGTAAGCATTGCCACTCAAAGCTAGCAAGATATTTTTAATGACCAACGGACATGGTTTATCCCGTAAGTTGTTAATGCATACGGGTTGTAACCATCTGCAAATATGATGCACAAGGCAGCTCTTTTCAGCCCAAGATTTAGATCACTGATGCGTTTCAGAGCGGGAAACATCCAGCACTGCTACAGTAGCTGATGTGAAGAGTGACTTTTTAAAAGACCCTGGTTGATTGTATCAGCAAAATATTCAGTGCGGGTACTCATACCCGGAAACATTGCTAGTTTTAATGAATGTGCGTTTTTTTTTTTTCAACTGAAAATAACGCTTTTTATCGACGAAAATAGATCAGTAGCACATAGCTGGTTACACTTGGTTTTTGTTCTGACATGATGCTTGATGATTATGGGTATGGTTTTCCCAAGAACAAATTACGAATGATTATTTTGTCCGTGGTTTTCCGAATTTCAGGATAACGCGCTTCAAGATAACAAAATCGGTATATTCTGTTGCATAGGAATTTATCAAGGCTTAAATTCAAGTAAGGGTATTCGACAGTTTTACTGTGACGAGATCGTACATGTAGAATGTTATTTAGAATGTGATGAGAGAGAGAGAGAGAAAGAGAGAGAAAGAGAGAGGGTATAACCATTTAGATGAAAGAATATTCCTTACTTTTGAATCGGACGCTTGTCGAAGGTTGTAAAGTGGACTGCACTTGATTTTTTGATTGAAATTATGTTTTTAAACATTAAGATCGAGTGCAATACTAAATATTGTTAAAGCAAGTGCGCCAAATGCTTTCTACTGCAAGAACAGTTTTCGTCTAGGATCTGTTAGGCTATCATAGCAAAGATCACGTTTCTTCTAAAAGGGTCAGGAAGCCACGACCGCAACATCCACTTCATCTCTGGTAGCAAGACGACGTTTGGAAAAAAGTGGACGTGACGCACTTGAAACACGTCATTTAGTCTTGAAGCAATTAACATAATTGTGCTTCTTATTCCAGATATAAACCTCATTTTTCTATTTTTTTAAACAAAAAAGGGAACCTCGTTGATAGCATGTTTTATTGTTCCAGCACGAATCCGGCAGGCACGCAAAATAGACTTAGGCGATAGATTGTGGGTCCGCATCCTCCAGTGCCGAGATGGATGCGGCTCTAAGAAGTAGTTCTCAAACCCTGTCCAAGAACTCGGATCGTAACTAACAGGTAAGCGTCCTGTTTAGTCTCATTTTTAACCCAAGATCTCAAATATTCTCAGGCAGAAATACTAAAACACATTGTATTGTGTGTTTGGGTCGTTTATTGATCCAAGATCTCGCATATTCTAAGGTAGAAATAATACATTTACGTGATTGTGAGTGTATATACGACCAAATCACTGATGATTTATAGGTTTTATAACGAGTGACTTTCATTAAGGACGTGCAGGCACTACTGGTGATTCCACTCTATATCGTTACATCTATATTTGTTTTCCTATCTTTTCAGCTTTTCGAAAACGAAAATTAAATCATATCAAACCTATTAAACTGAAACTCATGATCAGAAAAGAGTCCAAATGTATAAAAAAAATATGCAAGCTTCCGACACCCAACATAATATTGTGTGTTGTATGTGTAAAATGTCAACGCGTAGATAACTGCGCATTTGTTTTTTATACAAGTCGAATTATGAAATTGCTGGAAATGTTTATGACTGTTAAACAGTGCATTTTCTGGATGACATCTACAAATGGCGTGTCAGCACGAAATCCATGGTAGGCCTACCAGTAGGTTCTTTAATCAGAAAGAAGAGAAAAAAAGGGAGGCCGTATATATATCAAAGCTTTCTATAGCGACTGCAGATATTTTAAAAAGGTAGCCAGTACATAGTCTTTTCGGAATAGAAATCGACTTGGATCTTCGGAATTAAGACGACTGACACATGTTAAAGGTATTGTTAATGTTTTTTCTTACATTGTTTCTCAGAAAAATATATGACACAATATGGACTAGACGAGATACCTCAGAAAATGGGGAGAGGGGGGAGGGGAAGGGGTCTAGACCCCTTTTCTGAAATTATGTTCCTTTTTACCATAATGGCATGGAAGCGGTGGTGTGGTATCACAGATGATCCTGTCCACAGATTGTTAGTCCTTTTGGTTTTGACTCTTATTTTTTTTATCGAAAACCGCGAGTTTGTTTAAGTTTATGCATACCTGATGCTTGGTATTTTTTATGCAATGTTCCGTCTTTACACCACCTTCATGGAAATCTCTGCATCGTTACATTACACAGTTTCCTGTTGCTATGTTAACTGTTAAACTGAATCTATGGATGCACTCGCTGTTTGGTGACGTAAAGTGCCATAACATAACGAACTGTGCGCATTTTTGCATCCTCGTCGCTTTTAAATTATAAATGTCCTTTGTTTTATTTCGTTATTTTGCTGTTTTGACGTAAGATAAAACTACAAGATAACTAAAACGTTCCAATTTTTACATTTAGGGCCTACGGTGCTTTTAAGCCCACGGCCTTTACTTTCTATCCAACAATCTGAAACACAACGAAGAAAATAGATGGCCAGGTTGCTAGAAACACAGGTTGTCGTGATGCAACAAATGAGGAAGATATCTGAATCTACAACCTGGCTATCTCTTGTGGTTTTGCTATCTTATCGAAATCTTTGCCGTTCATAGTCGGGAACCAATCAAGAGGCGGGAGGAGATTATCTGGAAATTGCTGCTATCCCTGTGGATAAGACAACAAATCAAGATTTATTGAAAAACAACTTTGTAATATCGGTGGAATTTATCATGATATCGACAGTCATCATGCATATCGAAGGCAATAGTACGTATGGTGGTAATTTGTGCTATTTGTCACTTAATCCTCCCGTGTTGAATTTAGAGAACATGAAATCGAGAAATAATTTGTGTGTAGCTTTGGTAAATCTCAAGATCTGTTTCGACATAGAAACAGATCCAAGCCGGTTTCGATGTAAGACACCTCACAAGATGACTATATAAATTTGCCAATTGAGAAATGCCAGTCGAGAGCGCTTTTTTTCCACAAAAGTACCAAGAGCTATTTGCCGATTAACTTGAGTTTAGCTGAAGGCGTACGTCGGAAAGTGTACGGAGGTTGGCATCCTTTCTTAAACCTGTCAGGACCGAACCATGAGTCCGAACGAAAACAACAGTCTGGGCAACCGCTTGGACAAATCTTCATACTTTCCGCATGGTATCAGACCTTGGCTGCAAACGGCTCGTTGCAGTAATTGAAACCAGAAAGATTTATTTGTTTGCCCTAAAAAATAGCACTTTGGTGGGGGTCAGAGATAGGTCAAACAAGAGCCGAAGACGCTTGCAGAAGAGAAGCAGGTTTGTGAACTTTCCATGGAGCTCGAATGACCGCAAAGTAGTGCTTGCAAAATAGAGACTTCACTTGGGGACTTGGGGTTATCCAATCTAGCTAAAAAGTCCGGCGAACTTGCGCTAAATCATATTATATAGAGGATACAGAAAACGCATCGAGAGCTTTGTTGGCTTGCTTGCTGTGAGAGGACATCTGTTAAGGTTTGATGGAGCAATTACGGAGAAGTTTCGGGTACGTTTGGTCGAGGAGGGCAACATAGGCCCTATATACACCTATTGGAGGGTGTGCGTACAAACATAGCCATCTTTGATTTCAAGGTCATATTTTTTAATTTGTGAAAAATTTAGATTTAGAACAGTGATTTGTGGTGTTTTTGTTTTTAAAGGTGGAATTTCAACCAAGCTGATCTAGGAAACTTTTTGTTTCGTGTATAATTCTGTCGTTTACAAACACCGTTTGATGGAAAGTAAATAGCAATACGATTTTGATTTTAGAAACGGCAGTATAATATCTTCTTTATTTTTCGTAAATGTACTTAAGAGCAACGTCCGACTTATGTAAATATTTCATATTTAAGGACTCTTCGTTGTTTTGCACTCTTTAAATCTTGCATAGCTCGATTTTGTGATGCTTCAGAGACTGCAAATGTTTCTTTATTTCAAGTAAAAATTTGAAGAATACCGTTAACATCTCTTTCTAAAATTTTAATCAAACAGAGAGCTTGGGAAAACATTTAAAAATGAATATTTGTTAGTGATTTAAATTTTGATATCTGACGGGCGGAGTCATATGCGCTTTTCACATTTAGTGGTATATTTAAACGATACATTTTCTACCGGTATTTCTTTGAGAGGTCCTAACACGTGATAACGATACTGAGGGTTCTCCAGTAATTCTATTTGGTGACTCTGTTACGTAAAAGCCAGGACGTTAACAAATCTTATTCTGTCATACATGTACATGTAGTACACTGATTTTGCCTTGGGTTTGAATGGAGTTGCAGGTTTTCAGTCTCTTAAAGACGCTCGGTTCACAAATTCCTGCTTGGAGCAGCTGGCAACTAGTTGTCATGTTGATATAAGCAAAAGCAAGCAATAGGTGGTGTCATAATTGTTGGGTTGACGCGCACGAGGTGATAACGTCAAGCTTTCTCTTTTTGATTCGTTTAAAAGCGTATACGCACAACAGTTTATATACACCGACTATATTATACATATGAGCGAGTCTATTATAATTAAATGTACTGTTAACAACAATTCAGAAACAGCTGTGCTTAAAAGTGACGTTAGGGTTTCTATGTAAAAAAAAAGATGATTTATGGATTCCAAACATAGTTAAAATCTATATAGATAGACGAACAGAGGGCAGGAATGTTGAATGGGGTCGTCAAAAAAATAATTTTCAGTGATATTGTTAAACATGTAACAGAATTCCTCCCTCCCTCCCGACCCCCCTCTCTCTTTCTCTCTCTCTCTCTCCCTCTCTCTCTCTCTCTCTCTCTGCAGAGACGGCAACATCTAATGATTCAGCTCTTAATACCACATTTTGATAAGGTTGACAAGATTGATATATTGATGCAGACAGCGTTTACTTATAATGAACTTTGAACACTCGTTGGCCTTGATATCTTCAGTGATCTCCCTTATGTTTTTATTTCAACTCCCATTGACGTCTTTAACCTCAAATGATATGATGCTCTGAAGACGCTGAACTTCACTAAATCACGGCGAACAAACACTGAAGATTCGGCATGAAATGGTTAATAACGCGATCTTGATTGTGTGGTACTTTTTATATAGTCAAAATATCTCGTAGATCTGTGGAATAAGTTGCCAATTTTTATAAGACAAATAGAATCACAAGAATCTTTAAAAAAGGAATTAAAAACTCATATTTTTAAGACATTTTATTCATGAATCTTAAATTTTACAATTTTAAAGAAACCTTGGATTTTTTACTTTTAATAACTGTTTATTACAATTAAGTTAGTTTAGCCCTTATTTATATAAAATATATCTTAACCGTTTTTATCTATAAACTTCTTTGTATTTTATGTTGTACAGTCTATTGAACATTTTATGGATTTTAGACTTGAAATAAATATATTATTATTATTATTATCTGTATAGATATTTTATTCTATATCTTACAAATAATTTTCTGCAAATAAAGTACAAAAAGTATCATGTAAATGTATAGATAACTTGGCACCATGACTTAAATGTATTCGTATTTTGTAATTTTTTTTTATTTTACAGGATGGGCAAACCCAGCACGTGTTAACGATGTAATGGAACTGGCGGGCTAGAACACAATGACGAAGGAGGAGAAGCGAACCACACCCAAGGGTTCCTCAGGGTCTGGCTCCCGGGGCACGGGGATGCGTGCAGTCCTTCAGAAGGAATATATGCAGGGCCTTGACCATCTGCGCCAGGTCATTGCCAACGTTGAGCACGAAATAGACAAACAGAAACTGGAGTTTTACTGCTGTGAGGCAAATGATGAAGAGAAATATGAGGAATACCTACGGACATGCAATTCCAAGTTACTGCAGTGTAATAATCATCTACGTAAGAAAAACTTACAGTTGGAGGTGATCGATTCGGAACTTCAATTAGTGGCGCTGTTAAACAACGCAAGAATTGCCCACGCTGAGTCGGACTCTATTAGTTTCCTCACAGAATTTTGGGAAAACTTGAAAAACTCTATGGAAGGGTTGAGACGTTTGCGCGGGAAATTACAGACCAATGTAGTAGAGCGATTAAAAAGTAACTGTAGAAGTTACAATTATGGAAATGCAAATTTAGACTTGAGCGAGCATTATGCTCGGGACATTACTAAATATCAGGCGGAAATAGGACGGATGCTGGAAGACACAGAAATCTTGATCAAGAGTTTTGAAAGTAATATACGCCAAGATCTATTTATGAATTCGAATTTTTCTGAAAGGGTTTTGATATCGTGCGATCACAAAGCCTTCCCGATACTCAGACTTACGCCGGACGTCATTGAGAAGCTAGAAAGGATTTGTCGCCTCTCAAAACAGTGGATTGATCGCGACGAGACGTATGTTTACGAGATTAATACGCACATCAGAGAAGCGCGAAATAGAACGAGGAAGACACGCGAGGACCTTCGAAGTCACCAAGAAAAGCAGAAGAAAATCGTTAAGAACGCCAAATCATCCCTTATTCTCTTCCAGAGCAACAAAGAAAAACTGAGACAAATCGAGGCAGAGCTGAAGGACTTAGAGAGCCAGGTCGGACACTTCTCTCATCAAAAAGACGGAAAGACCGGCGAAAAACGACAGAAAGAGAGCATGATGGATTTCCTCAAAATCAGTATCTCTCAAACGAAGAAAAACTATGCTCTTCAACGAAGGCGAACTCGCATACAGCAGCAACTCTCCGAGCTTGAGCGGCAATTGCAAGAGATAGAACTTAGTCTAAAGAGTGTACAAGAAGCCGTGGCGCAAAAATCGCAAGAAAAAGTCGTTGTTGTGGAAAAAGTTGAGACGAGTGAAAAAGTTTACAGTTCTATACGAGTCGAGCTGGATAGTTTTACGGCAAACATCAGCAAATTACAAGTACAAATGAGCGAATTAACGGAGCAGTTGGGGCAGCTGGAGATGATACAGACGCTAAAGACGAGCCCCGAAATGGTGGACGATTTTTACGATCGGCCATCTTCGGTAAAACTCGCTCCATCTTTGAGGGAGAAAATAAAACGAAAAAGAAAAATATTAAGTCAATCAATTTGAATTGAAGTCAGCCTTTCTTGACAGCTCGGAAAGGAAACAAACACTGGTGCTTTTGATGAACAACAAAGTGGTACAGTATCTACGATGTTTTATTGCACTGTGTGTCACAAATTAATTGTTTAGACTGTTTATAGCAACTTGCTGTTCTCACGACCAAAGAAGTTCAAGTTCAGCGCCAGTGATTATTCTAAATATTTCTGACACTTTTTGGTTTAATATGCTTTATCTCTCATAACGGTGCTCTCTGCTACGGGCCAGTTGGGTGATGACGTCATTTGATGACGCCATTTGTGAAGGTCTGTGCAAAATTTCTAACTCGCCAAAAATGCATGCAGAATTTGTTCGGGGGATATTTGTGAATATTCAGTGATGAAATCGCTTTTTGGCCCTGGTAGTTGGTATTACAAAAACGTATCATTGCAATAATCAGTTAATTGTGTTTGTTGAGAAGAGGCAGCCAGCGCATCCCGTAAAGCTTTGCTGAAACCCTGAACCTGGGCCTGGTTTCACAGAAAAAAAAATGAAGTCAGGTTCCCTGGCTAAGAACTTAATTACCATGGTCACATGGGCACACTTTACCCTATCAGGAGCAGTGTGACAGCTGGAAATCCTAGTCAACTAAGCCAGGGAACCGACTTAAGTTTTTTTGGTGAAATTATGGCCAGGACTATTTTCTTGACTTACTTAGCTTTTTTAATAAGAGACAATGCGAGACAAATGTATTTTTTCTTTCAGCAATTACTTTATACAATGAAGTCAAACTTGATTTTATATGAAAGATCTCCACTTTGTATTAATATCAACCTGTTAATATGTGCAAAATCCTTGCTGTTCTTATAATGGCGCGACATCAGCTTTCTAAATTTATCTAATTTTTTTTCTTATGAAATGTATAAAGGACCTCTATGAAAATAATGGCAGAATCTACTTACAGCATGCCAAAATTACTGTCAGTTTACACGAAGAAGGCGGGATTTCATCTCAGTGCTGTAATTCCTTTATTATGGTGTCGCACCAGTTTCAGTGGAATTTTACATTCATTATGGCTTTAAAATCGGTGCTGAAGGTGCTGTAATTTTGTACATTTAAATATCTACAATAAACAATTTGATGTATCCGCTGTTGTTCTTTTATTTGCCATGATATTTTAAAGATCGGGTATCTTTAGGCCTACACTTTAGGCCTACGACACGATTTGATCTCTGCCCGCATTTATGTACTCAACTCTAAGACCTGTTTTAGAAAATTTTATTTATTATTTATATGGAAAATTGTTAATGATACATGTAGTAGCAGGCAGATAAAAAGGGCCACATTAACAGTGATACCTCTTGACTCGGTGGTCAATTATAACTCTAATTTTGATTCGTAACTTATTTAATCCGTGTCCTTTATGCGGCTGGTATTTCACAAACGGTGATTACTGAAAAAATTAACCCCATTAAAATAACAAATTTATCTTTCTCGGTATGAAAGACAAAATAATACTAATACCAATTATGATTATTATCATTTTTATTCATAGTATTATTAAAGCACCAAACATTACCCCGTAGCTTGTCCCCGCAACTACCATTGCGATAGTTGCGCTGGATGCAATGCAACCTTTACTGCTTCCTCCATTAACAAAAGAGTGACCGATTCCCGGCCACCACGTTAATTCTTGTCACTACATAACATAAGGGATGAAAATCGAGGACGTGAATGCCCTGGATTCTGATGCTTTCATCTCCCTGTTTGGCAATATCGTTGAGAATTGTAGCCTTATTGCTGCGGCGATATGGTCGTCTAGACCTTTCTCTGACGTCGACGACATTCAAAACCAGCTAAACAAGTTTATTGATCTTTTGCCTCGTAATGGTAAGTAACAATGCACGCCACTTCTCTACAACATTTCTTTAAGCCACCGTGCTCAACTAAGACTGCGACAGTCATTTATGGATAGACCCACATTCAGAGCTTGCCAAAGCCCACCATTAGGTATATGTAATGGGGAACTTGTTCAATATACAAACTACAAAGTAGGCTACCTATCAGTGTATGTGATAGGCCTACATGCAATACCTTTAAATTTGGGTCATCCTTGGATCCATTACATTACCATTTTATCATATGTAAAACGGACCCAGGCTGACCTACTTCTTGTAGGCCCTGTCACTACTGCCACTACATGCAACTGAGAAATAACTTATCACACAAGAACACGGCATGAAGCTCTTGTAGGCCTATCGACTATACGACTATACGAGTAAATTATAAGTCCATAAAATGAGGCTAATTAACTTATTTCAAGGTAGCTTAACTAGTTTAAGTCATTTTTCTATAATTTTTTAGAATTTTATCATCTTGGTACATAAATTAGCATATTTTATTTGTTTTTTTTTTATGAAGCCTCCGACAAATTTTTCTCGCTTATAGGCCTAGCTATCACTGGTCTTTGATTATTGGCATTCTCTCGGTCTTGCAGGAAAAGAGGGCATATTGAGGAATCACCCAGACCTAGCAGGAAGACTAGCGGCGGCCGGTCAGTTGACCAGAGAGTCCACCCAGGAACAAAAAGCTGCCGGACTGGACACACTGACCGCCGAGGAAAAAGAAAAACTGAACAAATTAAACACCGAATACAAGGCCAAATTTGGATTTCCGTTCGTTATTTGTGCACGCGAGAATAAGAAGGACGCTATACTTAAAGGTCTTGAGCATCGGGTACAAAACGATCTTGAAACTGAGACATTAACCGGTGTTGAAGAAGTGAAGAAAATATGCCGCCTACGATTGCTTGACATTATGGAAAATCACCCCGGTGCTAAATTGTAACTGGTTCGCAATGCTTAGTGTGGTACTTGGAGTGATCTCCATAAACTCATAATAATTTTGACACATACAGGGAAGTGGAATTTATATTGAATTTATATGGAATTTATATTCATATTGAAAATGCAAAATTTGTGATGAAGGACTTAGAGGTGTAAAATTGAATTGTTTACTGTTATAGTTGTGCTAAATAATAGTGGTAGAATACCAAGTGTGGCAAGAATGGTAGTCCGCAAGAAACCGAAACTCGTTCCCCATTACTTTGTACAGATGACATTCGTCCCATATACTGACCCCAATTCGCAAACTAATCCTAACCTGTACTAATCATAACGATCCCCGGGTTATATTCCTAGGACCACCATTCCTGTTACACTGGTATTAGGAAGTGTACATGTAATAAGAAGCCCATGGAATATTTTAAAGCTAAGAAAATAATCGATATTTTAAAACTATTTCTAATACTGAAAGTTCTTGTTGATGCTAGAAATTGCATGCATATATCCTGTGCTTACTTTATTACAAAGGCGTTAGTTTCATTGTTTTCCTCTGCCTCTTACTTTTCTCCGTAACCAGTGTGTAAGAAAGAAATTTAAAATAAGACATCGGAGCGCGGCTATTGTAACTCCTTGCATTATAACCTATCCTGAAGACCAGTTTTCTATTCAAACACGTTTTAGGTAGGTATCGACTTTTAGTCTGGATACTTTCTGCATGTAGTTTTTTTTTTCACCCTTTCAGCTTTCACGTTTTTAAATAATCAGACATGAGCTTTTTTCCGCTGAAAAGCGTAACTCCACGTTTATTAATTCAATTCTGATGGTTCCTGAGGTGTTGGGTCACATGATAAATGCTCGGAGGTCTCTTTCTTTTTGAATCCTAGGCTCATGTCTGAATAATTCTTGGTTAAGAAAAAATTATTTCGGACTTGAGAGTAAGCATATTGTGCTTCTTTTCTGTTGCTTCTTTTTTGTATGTGTACGCAGAGCGCGTATTTTTTTCTTGGTTGTTTTACAGAAACGTTGATCTCTTTCAAATTCTAAATAAGGTCACTAAGGCCAAGGTAAATTTATTTAATAATAATAATAATAATAATAATAATAATAATAATAATAATAATAATAATGAACCAATAAACATATCATTTTACTCTATTACTTTTTTATTTTTTGATGGTGTTTTTACAACCGATCAAAATAAAATATTTTGCGTAACCTTTTGTCTTCTCTCAACCAGGGCGACAGATTGATTTTCCACAGATATTCACAGATATGTCTATAGATAAATAGACAGTCATTTTGGCTCTCAGGCGATTCAGCAAAAAATGTCCACAATAATAACTGCAGCCCTGGTTGGGGATACCTTTTGTACGTCATAGTGTGATAATTAGCTGCATGCCTCTGTCTGAATCGGCATTTTTACCTCAGCAGTGCCGAGCGTCTGTACAGTAATGGTTCAATGTCTATATGAACTTTTCTGTGCTTGTATTCTCAGAGTTTTGAGTTATAATCGGAGTGCGCTTTTCTTATGTTTTCTACGACGTCGAGGAGTCTCAGCCAACAAATCTTCTTCACCTCATCTATCCCTCTTAACAATTCTTGTCCTTGTGTTTTCTCAAGACTTTCCTCTATCCCTTTCATAATTGAACGCTTTCGGTTTTCTCTCGCGCAGACGACGAATGGAAATCCAAATTTGGCTTTGTATTTTGTGTTCATTTCAGTCAGTCTTGCCCTTTCTTCGGGCGTTATATCTACCAACCCAGCAATGACCTGCTCCCTCGAGCACTCCTTACTCAACTTCCCCATGGCGGCGAGCCGGCCCGCCAGATCTGGTAGGCATCGCAAGATTCCTTCTTTACCTAAAAAGATATATATAGAAAGCGTCTTCAAGATGGCTGGCCTCTAAAAACATTGTGTGCAAACTATATATCTGATATTTGCCATCAATTTACGAGCGACCTCGTGCGCGTGTGTGTGTTGTCGGGTTTAGCCCCCTTAAAGTTTTGATTTAACATAATTCAGGTCTCATAAACGACAATTAACATTTGTGATTTCGAGCCGTGGGTTTGTGATTTCGAGCGCCGAATTGACGGCTGAATCGCGATGACGCGAACGTAAAAATCATTGATGCGGGCACCGCAATATAAATTGGGAAGAATTTGACCAGCTTTCATTCGGGTCTCTCGCTGTTTACATAGCGATTTTTTTTCGTTTTGTTAAAAGTCTGTTTTTAATTGATTTGCTTGTAGTTTCAATTAATATATCTAAAATGATAACACTGAACATTTCACGAACTTTTTCACGACGATCAGACTGTTTGCAGCAATGAAATATGCTTATAACATGTAACTAATTTTACAATATACTTGTTGAGTTACTTGTACATTACTTTCAAACTTTTGGGTTTTTTAACGGTATATGAAAGTCATCTTTTAAATATATCTGAGTATTGATAAGGTAGGGAGCCTTGATTTTTGCAATATTTCCCTAAATTTATTTATGCACTGACCTTAATCAGTGTGTCTGCAATTCAAATGAATTTATTAGACAATTTACTTTCTGAATAGTAATTTTCTAAAATAATAATGACTATAATTATGTCATTAAAACCATACTACGCGTGCGTTCCAATGCCGTTTAGCTCTACTTAAAATTAAAGAGAATCTATTCCAGTAGGGTTTTTCAGTAGTATGAAATCAGGCTGACAGTTACCATCGGCGTGAGGATTGTTTTTCCCTACACCTTCTTTTTCTTCTTCTTCCTGCTTCTCCCAAGATGAGGAGGAGGGGTTAGGGATGAGAATTTAAGGAATCCTCCTTAAATGAAGAGGAGGAGGGTGTACTTAAATGAGGAGGAGGAGGAGGGTGAACTTCCACTTTCCTACACCTCCTCCTCCTCATCCTGTTATTCTCTACACCTCCTTACTCTTCCCCTGCCTCCCTACGTGTACCTCCTCCTTCATATTGACTCCAAGTGTTTGTGAACCACACAATATCACTTGAAGTATTTGGTTCTCATACCTCTCTCTCATTCATTATGGTAACTGTCGCGTTGATTCCTTACAACTTTTTTCGGTGAAGCTAACCGACCCCTTTCAATTTCGACTAGTTTCGTATGCACTACAGTAGACTCAAATAAAGTCGACATGCCAAAATGTAAACTAAATTAATCACTCTGTCAGCCGAAAAATAGCTGAAAAACTGCACCTTCTCCAGATAAGGTATTATATAACGCAAAACTGCTGCACGGGCAATAGCATGAATATTAAAATGAGAGGCGACGACAGTCGAGGTTTATAGACATAGCACAGAAAGAAAACAAAATGTCTTACTGCGTCTTTTACTATTTCCTTAAGTTATGCTATTCATAACCATATGATGGCACGTTTGATGGCAAAGATTTGACTTCATGTATAACTTTAATATAGAACCTTATATAATAATAATAATTATTATAATTATTTTTATTATTATTATTATTTTGTTGAGCACTAAAATGTGTACAAATTTATTGAATATTAAAAAGGAAACATTCTCAAATTGATGAAAAAAAAAAACAATTTTACATCAAAATCCAAGGGGATTTATTTTGATCGTGAGAGATTTAGTTTTACAACTCTGAATATTAAGGAAAACATTTAAATGCAATACTCACAATACGGTGGAAGTTTATCCAGAAATTCACAAATATGTCGGTGAATTTCAGCCACACTTGTAAACGGGCGAAGCGTCCAAACAGAAGCCGCACAAAGTGGATTACCTTGTACAACGTTACCAAAGTGTGCAACGAAAGCTTCGAAATCCATTCTGTTAACCAGGTCCATCTTCTATCTTTTGGTCTTTCTTGTTACTTTCAATTGGTTCAGTATACAGTTAGAGTCTTCTTCATCAGCCTCACCCAAAAAGAATCCCAGGTTCCCTGTTGCAAGATATAAAGGCACTTTAATCCTTATCACACGGCCTATACTTATACGTGTACTCCCTGTCTTGAACTTACATTAGAAGATAGCCAAACGACTGACCTGTTGCACACCAATAAACTATCAATCTACGTAGATAGATCAAACTCCGCGGGGACTCTCACTGAATGCACTCAAATCAAAAAGATAATCAGTCTCCTTCTGGCCTTAAGTAGAATACAAAAAAAGCTGTTATTTACATATGAGTACGTTATTTACATGATTATGTGGGCCACAAAACCAGTTTTACCACCCTAAAAGACATTTATTAAATCTGCGACCTGCTCCGTTACACTGCAGATAAAATGATACCCCCTTCACACCAAAACATACCACATGTAGTTCAAATTGTTAGGTGCAGTTAAAATATTCTAGTGGATATTCATATATATATATATATATATATATATATATATATATATATATATATATATATATGCCAACCTCAGATATTTCGGTCTCGATGGAGAATTTTGTTAGTGATGTTGGGTCTGAGCACTAGTCAACGAGGTGATTATCCTAACTGTCCGACATATCCACCCGTCTCAGTTAAGGCCACTAATATGGTAAACTACGCTTAAAATCATGTTTTTGAGTTTTTTTTTGTGTGTTTACATTTATCAAAAAAGTATCAAACGTTGGATGTAATATATTTTTTTAATTTGCACCACAAAATGAGTTTTTCAACCAACACGCGCCCCAGTCAGGCTGACAACTAAGCCACGCCTCTGTTGCTAAGGGCCGTTGCCATGAGGGGGCGGAGCATAGTTAATGAGTTATAAGCCGATTACGTGTGCGGTAATAGGTCATAAGTCTTACATCAGCTAAGCAGTGAAGAAGTCGAGTACGCTATGGGAAAGAAAAAAGTTCGTGTTTAAAGTCCATTTCCAGAGGAAAGAAAGAAAATTTTGAAAGAGAGTATGCGCGGCGGTTGGGGAAAACCGGTATTTGTTCAGTTGGATGGTACGTGGTACCTCAACACATCAGACTTATTCATAAAATAATAACTTCAAGTTTATGTTGGCCTAAAGTACGATGCGTGATCTGGTATTAGACGCAATCCACTCTACAAGGCAGCAAAGCTGTCAAATGTACAGACAAAAAGCTGAAAATAATAATGCACAAAATAGGCTACTGTCAATTCTGATGCAAAAGTACATTATGCTTAACTGCAAATTCAATATCAAATTTTAATTATGCTCAACAGGTAATAACAATGTAAGTAAAATGTGTAACAAGCGTAAGGCTTCAGGCCCATGAGAGTTCACACTTTGAACGTGCCAGAATAAGAAAAATGAAAATTTTACACAAAATTGCATAAGTTCAATAATAAATGATAACCCAATTGAGCTGGCTTTCTAATTTGAACTACATGCCAATCCTAAAAATCATACTTGTAAGTTAAAAATAATAATAAGTAAAACAGTTTTCTTTTCAAAATGTTTGTAGTAGCAGTGCATTTTTGTCAATTTTGATGTAACATTACATAATAAATTACAGAATAATTATCACCAATATTTGATTATTAACTATAAATAGCATGGACATGTAGAAAATTTGACTACCATATGGCTTTATGTCCATGGGAGCTCTGAGTCCCACAATGAATATGCCAACGCAATAAAAATTAATATTTCACTAAAATGTATAACTTCAAGAAAAAGAAGCCAATTAGACTGCTTTTTCAACCCAGGCTACATTTTAGTCCTGTGTTTCTTTTTTGAAAGTTTGACAATCATAAGTAACATGGTTTTCCCATAATGGTCATCATGGCAACATCACCAAAAATTGTGTTTTCTTCTATTTTGATGCAATATTACATAATGCTTAACAGCATAATGACCATCGATTTTTAATAATAAAATATATGTATAATGGATTTTCAGAAAATGTGACTAGCATGGGTCTTCAAGCCCGTGGAGGTTCTAAGTCACACCTTGAAAATGCCAATATGAGAAAAGTTAAATTTTCACAAAAAAAAAAAAAAAAATGTTTAATTGCCAGAAAAATTTACCAAAAAGACTGCATTGCTTACTGAAGCTGTATTTTAGTCCTGTGTTTCTTTCCTGTAAGTTTGTGAACAGTAAGTGACATGGTCTTCCTTATATGGTCATCATGGAAGCAGTGCCCAAAATAGGGGTTTCTTCAAATTTTGATGCAACATTACATAATGTTTAACAGCATAATGACCATCAATTTTTAATAATAAAATATTAGTATCATGGACAAACAGAAAACGTGACTAACAAANTTTTCAGAAAATGTGACTAGCATGGGTCTTCAAGCCCGTGGAGGTTCTAAGTCACACTTTGAAAATGCCAATATGTGAAAAGTTAAATTTTCACAAAAAAAACTGTTTAATTGCCAGAAAAAATTTACCAAAAAGACTGCATTGCTTACTGAAGCTGTATTTTAGTCCTGTGTTTCTTTCCTGTAAGTTTGTGAACAGTAAGTGACATGGTCTTCCTTATATGGTCATCATGGAAGCAGTGCCCAAAATAGGGGTTTCTTCAAATTTTGATGCAACATTACATAATGTTTAACAGCATAATGACCATCAATTTTTAATAATAAAATATTAGTATCATGGACAAACAGAAAACGTGACTAACAAATGTTTTTAGGCCCATGGAACTTCAAAGTCACACATTGAAAATGCCAAAATGTAAACAAGACAGCACTGTTCTGAAATGGGTTTATTTCCATTTTTTAACACTTTTTAACATAAAACAATATTAACATTTTACTGCCATTTTTATGTACAGACACAGATGTGTCTGTACATATTGCCATCACCTGCGTCTGTCGTCGCCGTCGCCGTCGCTGTCGCCGTGCACTTTCAGCGTTAACACGATAAGTGGAAGACAGTTTTACTTTTTGGCTTTATATTTACAGAGCTGATGAGTATTCATAAAACGCAGGTCAAGTTCGAAAATCAGCATGATCCGGCCATTATTGTAGAAGTTATGCTATTTTTTCACTTTTCAGCATATATGTAACACCGTTAACACATTTCAAGGAAAACCGATAGGCCTGTTGTCATGTCACTAAAACGCAGTTCAAGTTCGAAAATCGGCATGAACGGGCCACTATTTTAGTAGATATGCTGTTTTTTACACTTTTCAGCATATATGCAACACTGTAAACACAATATAAGAAAAACAGTTGGGCCAATTGTCATGAAAGTCACAGGAGTGGACAATTTTACTAAAATGCAGGTTGAGTTCGTAAATCAGTATAATCGTGCCATTATTTTAGAAGGTATGCTGTTTTTTCACATTTCCTCAGATTCAATTCTTAGGCATGTTAACAGTCTCATTATTAAACTAATAAGATACGTAAAAGGGTTTGTTTGACATTTCCCGCATCTTTACTGCATTGTTAGTTGATTATGTAAAAATGATGGTAAACTTGTTATCGTGTATTGTGTAATAAAGTGTCAAAAATGGAAATAAACTCATATCATTGCAGTGTGTCAGATTCAATCATTCACTTTGTTCAGAATATCAGAATGGAGGAAATTGGACATTTAACACTGTTCTATTGATATTTTCCCCATCTCATCAATTTTCTTAGTTGATCATGAAAAAAATGGCAGTAAACTGTTAATTTTGTTTTATGTTAAAAAATTGTTAAAAATGGGGAAAAAACCCCATTTCAGAACAGTGCTGACTTGTTTGCATTTTGGCATTTTTAAGGTTACTTATGATTGCCAAACTTTCAAAAAAGAAATACAGGACTAAAATGCAGCCTGAGTTGGAAAAGCAGTCTAATTGACTTCTTTTTCTGGAAGTTTTACATTTTCAAAGTGTGAACTTGAACTCCCATGGGCCTGAAGCCTTATGCTTGTTACACATTTTACTTACATTGGTATTACCTGTCGAGCATAATTAAAATTTGATGTTGAATTTGCAGTTTAACATAATATACTTTTGCATCAGAATTGACAGTAGCCTATTTTGTTATTTCCTGCTTTTTGTCTGTACATTTGATAGCTTTGCTGCCTTGTTATATGTTCAACTAAGAAAATTGATGAGATGTGACAAATATCAATAGAACAGTGTTAAATGTCCAATATCTTCCATTCTGAGATTCTGAACATAGTGAATGATTGAATCTGACAAACTGTAATGATATGAGTTTATTTCCATTTTTGACACTTTATTACACAATACACGATAACAAGTTTACCATCATTTTTACATAATCAACTAACAATGTTGTAAAGATGAAGGAAATGTCAAACAAACACTTTTACGTCGTAACTTATTAGTTCAATAATTAGACTGTTAACATGCCTAAGAATTTAATCTGAGGAATATTGTGAAACAAGGCAGCACTGTTCTGAAATGGTTTTTTTCCCATTTTTAACAATTTATTTATATAAAACAAAATTAACAGTTTACTGCCATTTTTATATGATCAACTAAGAAAATTGATGAGATGGGAAAAATAGCAATAGAATAGTGTTAAATGTCCAATTTCTTTCATTCTGAGATTCTGAACATAGTGAATGATTGAATCTGACAAAATGCAATGATATGAGTTTATTTCCATTTTTGACACTTTATAACACAATACACGATAACAAATTTACCATCATTTTTACATAATCAACTAACAATGTTGTAAAGATGCAGGAAATGTCAAACAAACACTTTTATGTATCTTAGTAGTTAAATAATAAGACTGTTAACATGCCTAAGTATTGAATTTAAGGAAATGTGAAAAAATAGCATAACTTCTAAAACAATGACCCGATTATGCTAATTTTCAAACTCAACCTGCATTTTAGTAAGATTGACCATTCCTGTGAGTTTAATGACAATTGGCCTATCTGTTTTTCTTATATTGTGTTTACAGTGTTGCATATATGCTGAAAAGTGAAAAAAAACAAAAAACAAAAAAAAAAAAAAAAACAGCATAAATACTAAAATAGTGGCCCGATCATGCCGATTTTCGAACTTGATCTGTGTTTTAGTACGATTGATTACTCCTGTAAATTTCATGACAACAGGCCTATCGGTTTTCCTTGAAATGTGTTTACAGTGTTGCATATATGCTGAAAAGTAAAAAAAGAGCATAAATTCTATAATAATGGCCCGATCATGCTGATTTTCGAACTTGACTTGCGTTTTATGAATATTCG